GTGTCTGTGTCTGTGTCGGTGTCGGTGTCGGTGTTGGTGTTGGTGTCTGTTTCTGTGTCTGATTTTTGGAATTGCATACTTATCTCCCAACGTGCGTCTCCATTTATCGCAATGTAACAATATGATGAAACGCTACATACTATCAACATTGCTTATTCCATATACAGCTCAACATATCACTCGCACCTAACACGTTACTTCAATTCAATACACTCATACTCCTTCCGCCATGAGTATTCACACACGGACATGTTGTGTGTCGACTGGCTGTCTGTGCGAAGTTTCTTTCCCATTCTCGACCACAACGTCACGTATGATAATGATAGAACCGTAGATTTCTATTGATATGTTTAGCGTGATGTTACAGATTCCCTAGCACTTGGTGGATTGGTGGCGATAAAGGATATGTCAGAATATGTCAATCTTGTGAAAAAAGTATTGGGATTGATGTATATGTATTGTTGAATTTGTCTGTCTGCTTTTAACTTGCTACAGGGACAAATACAAAAGGTTTTCGGGCCCAACGAGGCGAAGAAAAAGAACCTTTTCTTGTATCTAGGTGAATTAAAAGGTCTGAAAATATGAGTACGCTCACAATAAACAACTGAAATATAGTGCTCGCAACTTTCAAGATTTATACCGCAATATATTGCGTCCCAAACTACTTCATGAAGCTTTTGCATGCACACTTCTAGAAAATTTGTGTGCAATGCTGAAATCTACTAATAAACTCACCAGTGTACTTCCCAAGCTTCTATGCGCGGCTCCGTCTTCACAGATACAATCGTAGGGGTAAAAATATACGTCAGTCGATTTCTAACCTTGGCTTCCATATTAGGCTTATCGTTACATGAATCACTCTTTAAAGTACAATCTAGTCTGCTATCGGCTAGGAAGAGAGGTGATATCTTAAGCTATGGTATTTGAGCCAGACTATTATGTGTGGGGCATGCATATGGACACGCGTAGCAAGCACGTAGTAACGGTCCAAGATAGTTAACCGTGTCCGGTAGAAGAACCGGGTCAACTACCTTGTAATTGCTATGTGTGCCCATATGGGTGGCCCATCGAAGGATTGGGACATAGAGCGTATGTAGCAAAGGTGTAGTTCTATTCCATTTTTTATTTTTATTTTCAGCGGTCGGAAATCGAGAGACCACAGTCTCGATGTACAAACTGTTTGGATATTGGTATTTGGCAAAGTCACAATGTAATCTTCGACCAACTTTATCTGTTCAATAGTTCAAAAGCGTGAAGCAGTATTTGTTTCAACCGCCTATGTAAAATTCCAAAAGTATGAAGCCGTACTTGTTTCTGATATCTCCACCTTCCCTTTTTGGTGTGTAAAACTTCAAATGACAGTCTATTTCAAATAATACCACAATCCTCCCTAAATTAAAGCATATGCTGATCCCAATATCACCCCCAGCATATCAATATGCGGCTTCATATTGGCATGATTGGGTTGAGTGTACCATTTCACGTTTCACATTTGGGCCCATTGCGACGTTGTCGTGGCTCCTATATCGTATGAATTGACATTGATCTTATGGATACATACCGTTGTCATGCAACAGTTTTTTTATACTTCATATGCTATTAATATTTTCCCTATGTACTACAGAATGCAGATTCATATCACACAAAAAGTAGATTTGATAAAAGTGACCTGGTATTAGTACACCGCCTGTAGTAAGGTATTTGATGTTTTAAACCAAACAAACATGTAGTAAAGTATTGGTGTTGTATAGAATTTAAAACATGCTCAAGCATATATAGGTTCTGTACATGTGTATATACCTATCATAGAGGTCCTTATACAGTCTGTAGTACTGAGTACTGTGTGCTTTTGGTTAGAATTCGTGCGTCTTAGCTGGAGCTGTAAGCATGCAACCCGTTAGCATGTAGCCCGTTGGCTGTTGTCGGCTTGCTGCTTACTTTTTAGTTATTACTGAATAGTAATAGGCTATCGTATGTATTCGACTATTCGTACCGATGATTTATAACCTTGAATAATACTTGAGATTGATTCACTGTCTAATATAGAAGGCTATGAAAGATTGGTTGAAAAAAGAATGTGCTAAGCCGAAATATAGTTTACTCTAAAGAGTTTACAACTTGTAGTAAATTCGTCGAAGTTCTAAACCAAACAAACATATAGCAAAGGTAAAAAACATAGTAGTAAATAACGGTAAAACTGCTGTTACATGGTAACATAACACAT